GCACAGGGACTAAAACTGGCGTGAAATAGTTTTTCAACTCAACACCACAAATACATGAAGGGGCATAAGCTGCACACTGAGAAATGCACCTATTGGTTAGAGCTTCATTTCACTCACCTATAGACTCTGTAACAAGATTTTCTTTTTAATGGAGTATTCACATAAAATTCACCCACCCCTGCTCCTAGAACACAGGACTGCCTCACAGTTTTACCACCTGTATTTGTAATGGGGTTTTTGAGGACAACATTACTATTTACTGAAAAACAACAAACACCATTCCTACAAAGCAATATGAGGCTGCTGTCATCGGGAGCTGAAAGCTTCCCCTCCCACCCTCCCCTCCCCCCCCCCCCAAAAAAAAAAGAAAAAAAGAAAAGAAGAAAAGCATAGCTTTACAATACATCCTAAATTAGGCAGAAATTCAAGGGCAGATTAACACCACAACTCGGAAAGATTTTCACATGTGATTTCATGACCAGACCGGAGAGAACTCCATATGGAAATGTCAGTGACTTTAATAAGCACTCAGTTGTTTCCAATTAGGCTCCTTAAGTAAGTTCAGTGGCATCCAGAGTTTCCTCTGCCACCTTCCTCCTAGCTGGCAAACATTTTTTTTTTTTTTATTTTTTTATAAAGCAGTTAATAAACATGTTCCCGCTCAGCCGAGGCTCCCGGCTCCGCCAGCCCCTGCCCTGGCCGGGGAGGAGGGACAAGAGGTGACACTAGATGGCACCAGTTAGCTTTGCTGCAGGAGCAATTTTTCCCCTTGGAAAATAAAACACCCCAACCAAACCTGGAAAACATATAATTTTGTCGATGTAATTCTGTTTCTCTTAAAACACGTCTGAGCAACATTATTTTTATGAGCTTTTCCAGCCTTGTTTTGAAAAACTTAATGTTTCTGCTAGGTTTATTTTTGTCTCATCAGACAGCAGGCTGAAGTCCTCCCAGCACTGCAAACAGGGACGTCTAAAAAGTATCATAAGGACTTTTGACTGATTTTTTTTTTTTTTTTTTGGGGGTGGGATTTTAAGAATCACTTCTCATTCCGACTTCTTCCTTTGCAATAATAACTAACCGGTTAACCTCCACTTCCTCTCCCAATATTGCCTCAGACAGTCAGAAGTGAGGGGGGATTGGAAACTGGAATTGAAATGCATCCCAAGAGATCTTTGATCTGTTTTGCCAGTCAAAATTGAACGCTCGGAGATGAAGTCTTTTCTTACTGGAACAATGTAATAATCCATTCTTCTGGAAAATTGCTAGACACCCTTTGAATATTTTAATGGCTTGATGATTTGTTTCATGGGGCAAAAACTGCCATCTATAGTGTAAGTTTTCAAACACGATCCTATCATTAGGAGAAAATAACTGAACCTCAGGTTCTGCCTCCCCATGTATATATAAAGAGAGGTTTCCCCTAAAATAATTTTAAAGCAATTTTTGAACTGCAACCCCCCCCAAGGACTGCTGGAAGAAGCCTGTATTTGCTCTTAAAGCACTTAGCCTTTAAACCTTTGAAGCAAGACAGCAAATAATAATTTTTAGAGCATTTAAAACCTCAGGAGAAGAATCAATAAGCATCCCCAGATCGAACAAGGGCCTGATCCCATCCCCAGCCCTGCTGACACTTCCACTGGCGCAGGTACGAATTTGGCCCCAGACAGAGATGTTGGACCAACGCAGCGCTTCTTGCTGAGCCTCATCCCTCTGGCCCCAGCCTCCCGTCGCACTGATCCTGCGCCTACTGGAGTCAGTGGAAAAAACTAACCCGGGCCGGGTTTGTTTTTGTTGTTTTTGACTCATGATTTTAAGGCCAGATCTGCCTCTTCCCTGGAAATGCAACAGGGGGGTCAAAGGCAGCTTTTTAGGCACATCTGAGAGGCCGCCGCAGATTTTGCTAAACAAACGCCTCGCTTTCTGTTTCCCTCCTTCCCAAGAGCCGATTTCATAACATTTCATACTGTGACTTTGCAAACTAAAGGCGGGGTGGGACTGGGGGGGGCAGGATGGCGAGGCGGAGGGGCGGCGGGGGGGACGGGGGGAGGGGGGGCGGCCGGGAGAGGTCGCTGCCGCCCGACCACGAAAGTTTTCATAACAAAGTTGGGCTTTTTCGGTTTTGTTTTGTCCTCCCTTTTTTTTTTTTTTTTTTTAAAGGCAGGGGGGAGGTTTTAAAAACATAAATATATATACAGACACAAAAGCACACACCTAACAGCAAGAAAAAAAAAAAGGACTTCTCCCTTCCCCCGCCCGCTTTTTTTTTTTTTTTTTTTTTGGGGGGGGGGGGTTGGAGCCGGCGGAAGGCTGGGGGTGCGCAGCGGCGCGGGCCGGGCGCGGTGCGCGGGAGTTGCGCGGCTGTCCGCGCCGCTCGCTCCAGGAATAGCGTGTGGCCGGGGGCCAGCCCCGCGGCTGCCGGCGGCAGATTTACGAGCGGTTGTCGCCGCGCCAAGTCCGCCGCGGTAGTAAACACAGGGGAAGGGCTGCGATGGGGGCACCGGGGGGGGGGTCCCCCTCGCCCCGCACCCAGGACCCCATCCCTTGCACGGCTGCACCCCCCTTCCCCTGCCCGGCTGCCTTCCTCCTCCCGGTGGAGGACCCCCTCTCCTCCCCGCGGGGGTTTATTATTATTATTATTATTATTATTATTATTATTATTATTATTATTATTATTATTATTATTTTGAGCCCTGCGCGTAGCAGTCAGAGTTGCTCCATACACTTTTTTCCTCCACCTTCCTGAGCTTTGCATCGCGTTTTATTTCCCAGCCGGCAAAAATTTCCGTCGCGCCCGGCCCCGGCACACACCGTCGGGGCGAACGCGGTTCCCTCCCGCCCCGGGCCGCCGTTCCGCGATGCTCCGGGGCCGGCGACGGCCGAGCCTCCCCGCGGGCTCCCCCCTTCCCCGGGCAGAGAAATGCCGCAAATGTTCTCCATCACCGCCCGTTGTTAGCCCGGGGCTTGACAGATCACGGCGCAGCCCCGCCACAAGTTGCAAAACGCACCAGCCGTTTCGCGGTTGGATCGGGGACGGAATAACAATCATAATGGTATAGGAATGAAAATAGAGATTGGGGGGGGTGGGGGGGGGGAAGGAGGGAAAATGATGCGGAAAGGCCGGAGCGGCGGTGCCCGGTGCCGCCGAGCCCCCGCGCTGCCGCCGGCCCCGCTCCGCCGCCGCTTTTGTGCGGCGGCGGCGAGACAACAGCGACACAACACGCACATCAAAAAAATAATAATTTAAAAAAATAGAAAAAATAAGAAGAAGAAGGAACAAAAAAAAAAAAAAAGGGGGGGGGGGGGGAAGAAAAATAACACGTTCCTGCCGAGGGATCCAGCCATTGGGAACCGACCCCGAGTCACGCAAAACGCCACCGGCCCCGCTCGCCGCCGTCCTGCGCCCGTGGGGCGGCTGCAGGTGCAGAGAGGAGCCGCTGCCGTCCTCCCCGTCCCCACCCGGCCGTCACGCGTGCGGGAAAGCCAATAATCCCAGATAACCGACAATCCCCGGGAGAGGACAGCGAGGGGAGACACCCCACCTTCCCCCCCCCCCCACCCCTCGCCGCGCGTTCCCCTTGTACACGCTCCCAGCGCTGACATGCAGGCACCCCTATTTTTCTCGCTTGACAGCGGGCAAGGAAAGAAGGGGCTGTGTGTAGGGGGAAATTAAATAAATAAATGGAGGGGGGAAAAAAAAAATGTAAGATTTAGGGGATAATAAAAAAAAAATATTAAAGGGCTGTCGGGGCACCTGCCGCGGGAGAAGGGGGGGAAGAAAGGGGGGGGGGGGGGGGGGGAAATGGGTAGAAATATATAGAGGCGGCTCCGCGCCAGGCGTCGGAGCGGGGCAGGGAGGGAAAGAGGAGGGAAAAAAAAAAAAAAAAAAAAAAAAAAAAAAAAAAGGGAGAGAAAAAAAAAAAAAAGAGCGAGCGCGCGAGAGAGAATTAAAGGGTAAAATCGGCCGCGGCAATAGAAGCAGCAATCACCTGGTCTCCGGGCTTTCCTAGAAACTCCTTGCATCACCACTTCTAAGAACCCCAGTTCTAAGAATCAACAGAGCCCAATTCTCGGAATTTGAGCTGCAGACTCTACCACTGCGTTGAGCACGGGGAGGGACGCGGACCTCCCCCCGCCGCTCCGCCGCCGCCGCCACCGCCCTCCCGGGACACGGGACCCGCCCCCCCCGCGCCGCCCCTATGGAGACGGTGCGGGGGGGGGGTCCCGCGTCCCGGGAGGGCGGCGGGGGTCCCGTCGAGCCGCCCTCTCGTCTTCATCCGCCCCCCTCTCCCCGTTCCTAATGGTCGCGCCCGCCCGGCGGGTCACGTGGCGGCGGGTGCTGTGTGTGACGTGGGGCGCGGCGGGGTGGCGGCGCGCGGCCGCGGAGCAGCGCGCGCGGTGCGGAGCAGCAACGGCGGCGGCAACGGCGGCGGAGGAGGATGAGGATGAGGAAGATGAGGAGGAGGAGGAGGAGGAGGATGAGGATGAGGACGGACGGGGGGTCCCGGCTGCGACTCCGGGCGGTGCAAACACACATCCCCCCCCCGCTTCCCTCCCCAAAATTCCTCTCCGAAACAGAGAAAAGGAAGAGATCTGAAAAAAAAAAAACAAAAAACCAAACAACCCCCAAATAACGCCTTTTATTTTTTTAAAAATTATTTATTTTTATATTTAATTTGGGGCGGGGGGGGGGCTCACTTTCGCGTTTAAAAAGCAACCCTCCCCCCTAAAAAAAATACAACCCAGCGAGCAAAGCCAGGATCCTGCTGCATTGCACTGGATTTTTACTTTTTTTTTTTTTTTTTTAATTATTTTTCCCTCAATCAGCTTTTTCGATAATTTTTGCAAACAGCCACGCTCAGCTCACGGCCTCCGATGGGATTTACTGTCGGGGAAAGAAGCTTTTTCCGTAAAGACCTCCCCCTACATGCTCTCTCCTTCCCTTGTTCCTTTTTGTTTTTCATTTTTAGTTCTATTTTTTTATTATTTGTCAGGATTCTTCAGACCAAAAACAAATTTTTTTTTTCTTCTTTTTTTTTTTTTTTTGATCCATTTTCTCTTTTCCTTTCCAGGACTCTGGAGTGGTGGGTTAATTCTTTGTAGCTGTTGTTGTTGTTGCAAAATAACCTGTAAGTCTGTAAATACTCTGCTTGTACGGAAATGTCGGACTGTGCCGGGGATGCAAAACCGCGTTGGCTTTTCTGGAAGGGGTTTTATTTCGGCACTTTTCGCTTATTGCTGGGCAAAGGCCTTTGCTGGGAGGTGTGGGGCAGCCGGGGGAGGGGATTAATGCAAAGCCTTTGCAATCCGTATCTCGGATGGGTTTTGCAGGGGGGTGCAGAAGGAGGGTGCCCGTCACCCCAGCCTTCCCCCGATCCTGTATGGAAATGTATCGCCCTGTATGTAAATCCGCTGAGATTTCTGCCTCTATCGCCCAGCCTTGTGTATTTATTTCAAGCGGGCCTGCTGCAAGGGTTTGTCTTGGGGGGGGTGGGGGGTAGATCAGCAGCTCGCAAGTCTCATTTTTCTTTCCCCATAGGTTTTTGGGGGCTGCGAGGTGCCATGGCTGCTCCGTGTGGCAGGGCGCAGGGGGAGGGTGCGCTCCGGGCTGCGATGGCATTCCCGGGCCCTTGCAATTAATAGAAATTTGTTTACGAGAATAACCACCGCAGGTCACGGTGCCCTCGGCCCACGAGTGCAATTGCTCAGAGCTACCGGTTCAGCCACCGCTGAGCCCCACGGAGTGGCCACCTCGGACACAAAGTCCCTGGGTGCTGCTTTTATTTTGATTTCTCAGCTAAGCCCTTGAAGCAAAATGCTTTAATGCAAGGATGGAGGGCGGAAAAAAAAAAGAAAAAATAAAAAGAAAAATAAGGAAGAAAGCCTTTCTACTAATACGACTCATTTTATCATTAAAAAAAGCCCGGTGGCAAGACAGGGATGGTACTCCCGAGACACTTGAGATGGTACAGATATGCTGGAGAGACGGCTTTCCTGTAGTTAAAAAGCGATATGTAATTCCCAGTGAGTAAGTGCAGCTCGAGCTGTGCGAGTCCGATCCCGGCCCTGGGCAGGGAGGGGGCTCACCGGGTGTCTGCAGGCGGCCGAGGGGGGAACAGACCCAATAATATAAACTCTGCTCTCCTCCAGGATTTTGTTGTTGTGTTTTTTTTTTTTTTTTTCCTTTTTTTACAGCAACAAAATTAAATGGAAGGTTGTTGTTGGCGGGTGGGGGGGTGGGGGGGGGGGGTGGTCAGATCTTTTCTGTTTGTCATTTCTCTGCAGTGTGTGATGCTTTCGCTTTAGCCAGAGCGTGTGTGCCCGGCGGAGCCCAGCACCTGTGGGACGCTGGGGAGCAGCGAGAGGGCTGCCGCTTGGGGTTGCTTTTTTTTTTTGGTGGAGACCCGAGGTCGAGCATGGCTTCTGTTCAAGTAGCACTTTGTCGGGGGAGATTTCTCGCTCTGCCTGGCCACTGCCAAGCTGGGCTTGCATCACAGTTTCCATTCTAACCCTCGTTACAGGGACGTAGAGTGCAGTCACCAGCATCCCCTTCGGGCTGGGAACTGGGCGGCCTGGGGTTCCTTCATGGGGTTTTTGGCCTTTCTCCTTCAGTTTTGTACCTTTTTGTCCCCCCTTTCCATCATTTGGGGCCTGGCTGCAGCTCCCGGGGGGCTCCTGCCACACGCTTCCACCTCCTACCGCTTCCTTCTGCCCCCCCAAAAGCCGCAGCAGTCCCCGCGATGCCTTGCTGGGGACTTCGGGGTGCCAGGGATGGGGTCGTTTCCCCAGGACCCCCCTCCCCTCATGGACCAGAGGGGTCAGTGCCAAGCGAGGCCTTCTCACCCTCTTGCTTTACCCGTCCCGTCTGGGTCCCAGCTCCGGGGACCAGCTTGGCAGCTGGTGGCAGTGGTGGTGGCTGCCAGGCAGGCAGGGCGGCGATGCCCCGGCGGGACGGCCTCCCTCGCCTCCGCCCGCCGACAGCAAGAGGCTTCGTTCTTGGGGGGGGGGGGGAAGGTGGCCCCACGGCATGGAGGGTTGCCAGGTGGGCTGGGAAGCCACCAGCAGCCCCCCACGTTGGCCTCAGCCTCGAGGTGCCTGCGCAGCACATGGAGGGGCAGCAGCCCGGCACCACAAGTAGGGGGGCTGCAGTAAAACTTGGGGGGGGGGGGGGGGGGGGCAGAACCATGCACCCCCCTCTCAAAAACACCCCGCCACACCCCCTGCGGAGATCCCCTCACCCAGGCAGGGGTTTGAACCCCGATGCGGGGATGGGGGTGGTGCTGCTGGAAAACGGTCCCCCAGGAGTTGGCAGGGGTATTTCTGGGCACAGCGGAGGAGTGGGAGCGGAGGCAGGAGCAGCGCTACAGGTGCTTTGTGCCCCCCCCAGTGGGGTGTCCCGATTCAGCCTCCCCATTTCCCCCCTTCAGCGAGCTCCTTGGACGGAAAGCAGCCCCTCTGCCTGTGTGTTGGCATGCAGGGCACAGAGCAGTGTGAAATTATTTAGCCCTCCTCGAGAGCTGCAGTTTGACGTTGAAGGCCCTCGGAGCTGGAGCTGCTGCTCAGCGGTGATGGGAGCCCCCGGGGTTTGGGCTGTCCTCCCCAGGGGACAAGGAGTGGGTTTTTAAGTGGCATCGAGGCCAGTGCGTATTTTTCCCAGGTGAACTGTACCTCTGGAAAGAAGTGCCTCGTCTTTTACAAAATATGCTTTAAATAAACAGTGCCCCACTATAATTTTTTCTTTTGAAATTAACTCCTTCAGGCCATGAGGCTTACCCATCCCCACTCAAAATAGCTGCCAGGACTTTTAAAGAAAAAAAAAAAAGTGTGTCTGAGGGAGAAAAGTTTAGCCTGACAGAAGACAGCCCGTAAATCTCTCTTCCCCGTGACAGCCGAGGATGTGTTAGGATGGGTTGTGGGAGCAGCCTGCCCGTTTCAGAGCTGGGTGCCGCTGCACCAATGTTACTTAAAAGGAGTTTTGTGCATATTAATGCGCGTGCACCGAGGCCAGGCTGCACGCTGCACAGGGACAGCCTATTCCCTGGCTGAATTCAACTATCTTGTTTTCTAATCTAACCTACTTTTTTCTTTTTTTTTTTTTTTTTTTCTGTCAGAGGTTGGTGCTTTGCAGGAACCTGTTCTCAGTGCAATCTCAGAGCTTTTTGTGGGTGTCTGATTTCTGTAACACGTTTTGGTTTCCAGTATGAATGTAACGTACAAAGAATATCATGACACTGCTCTAGGTGTACGTGATCTTATCTACCTGACATTTAGGGTTTTTTTAACCGTCCAATTCACCCGATTTGCATAAAAATCACATGATTTTTCTTTTTTTCCTCCTTTTTTTCATGCATCATCATAACAAACTACTCAGGTTTACCAGGCTGTTTTCTGCCTGTCAGCAGGAACGCAGGGCCCGTCTCTCTCCCCCTCCTTTCTCCCCCGTGGAGGTTGGCAATGTTAAAGGTAGCACTTGGAGGGGACCTGTGATCACAGACAGCCACTGGAATCCTTAATAAGCAAATGTGTATGGTTTAACTTCCAAGAAAACAAAGCAGCTGAGCATGCATCCCATCCGGTTCTTCTTAATAGACAAGACTTCATTTTATTGATAAGGAAACTTCGCGGAACAGCCCCCCGGATCCCAGAAGGCTCCCCCTGCTGCAGCCGTCCTCATTACAAAACAAGGCCACAATTAAAATAAACTCCAAGAGCTAAACAAACTGCTGCCTCTTGCTGGTCATGTGTTAGCTTTAGCCTTTAACGCAGAACAAAATGTTTTCCTGGGTATGGAAAGAGGCACGGGCTCTGGCTGGGAGGAGAAGAGGGAGCAGCAGCCGGGCGTATGGAAATGGCAGGGAGTGGAGTACTGCGATGCTCATTGGGGTTCCTTTTTCTTGCTTTTTTTTATTTTTTATTTTTTTGTTTGTTTGTTTGAATTGGAGTGTTTGCGATCTGGCTCAGTCCTTACTGTGAGGGAAAGGACTTGAAGTGGAAAAACTTGAATGTCGTGGTAGGGCCTGGCTGTTTCAGCACGTCTTGGGCACACCTGGTCGTACCTCGCCCCTGCCCAGCCTAGCCCCCAGTCAGCCCACGGACTGGTTGCCCATTCACAAGCCCCTGGCCCAATTTGTGTTGCTCCCGTCACGCCTTGTGCAGGTACTTTAGGTGGCCATAGGTACCACTCAGCCTCTGCCAGCATCTGGAGCTGGACTGGTATGTGGTGGGGGAGCATGGGGTGCCCTGGAGGACAGGACCAGAGAGATGGAGAGACAGAAGGAGGGAGGGACAGCCAAAGGCTACGGAGGGGTGTGAGAGCCTGAGAGCACGTTGTGGCCTCCATGCCATGTGCAGACACCCCACCCGCGGTAACGAATTGCGCTCGGACCAGTACACTGTGAGAAGAACCCCTCCGATAACAGAGGGCTGTGCATCCTCACCACGCTCAGATAAAACCCCAGGATAATATTCCTGCAAAATTGCCCAAATAACTGGCATATCTGCTTGGCTCGCACTGCCAGGAAACAGTGCAGGCTTGCCTGTCAAAAATGACTTTCCTCCCACATGGGCAAAGGAGTGAGATATCTGCCTAATCTCCCAAACACTGACTGTGAGTAAATATCAGTTACCAGGAGGTGCGTAAGGATCATCCCTGTCCCCCCGAGCACCAACAGCCCCATGCCATCTCTGCTTCATCTTTGTTTTAAAAGGGAAACTTCACCCAGAGGTCTTCCAGCCACAGATAATTACCTCCCACCCCTTCCTGGTCCCAATCGTTTTTTAACCATTTATGGACCAAAGCCTGGCAGTGCCTCAGTGGGGCTGTGCCGGGTGAGGAGCCTCCCGGCAGGACACATGGTGGGGGAGCCTTTGCCCGGCCAGCCATCCCCATCTTACTCCCTTCCTTGTCCCCAAATCTTGTCATCCTGGCACCCACAAAAATATGAAGCCTGTGACCCATGGAAGCTGAATATCCCTGGCCCGTGTCTGAGCGGCACCACTGACCTCTTTCCTTTTCAGCAGATCTGTCAACTTTCAGCTGTCAAGATTAGAAAAAAATTCACTAACCGCTACAGATACTTTCCTGATAATGAGTTATGCTGAGGTAGTTCAAACCTAATGCAAAAGTGTTTGCTTTGTTGGGAAAAAAAAAAAAAAAAAAAAAGGCAGTGCTTGCTTTGGATGGTTAATATCATTATTTATTACTGTTATACTCATGCCTCGGAGAATCTTGCCGATCCCTGATATAAAAGCAGAAGAGAGCCTAAGAAGAAGGACAGTGCCTCAAAGTTTTACAGACACAAGCACATTGAAATTAAAAGAGGGATTTGCATCGATCCTGATCATTTTGAAACAGGCCTCTAAAGTTAAGGCTAAACACGCCTGGGCTTTTTTTGTTTTGTTTTGTTTTTGTTTTTTTTTTTTGTTTTTAATAACTCCTTGGAAATCTCAGCTAGTAGAGTGCTATGTGAATTTCAATTTCACTCTTCAAATAAAACATCAATGTAATTTTTATATTCTTTGAAATGATCTGTACAATTTTGTTCACTGAAACCCCTTGATTTAGACTTAAAGGATTTAGTGATTGGACGGGAGGGTATCTGTAAGTAATGGTGAAAATGGTAATTATTTGTTTTACTGCCTCCTGAAATTCTTTTATTTCTCTGTACTATCTCTAAAAGCATGTCTGGCAATAACAAGCTGTCTCTGTAAAGAATTCAATTAAATGTATTGCCAACAGAATATTTTATAATTTTTTATACCAGTAGTTAGAGTGTTAAATAATATATTAGTAGATTTATAGACTACATTTAGGTATGACTATGAATAGCTACAGTAAAAACCCAGAATATTAATATAAAAAGGGAGGGGGGAAGTTTGTTTTTTGGGTTTTGAGATTTTTTCTCTTCGTACTTCTTATTTGAGTTTCAGTTTTAGGACTTGAAAAGAATTAGATTTTCTCATCTTTGTCTGTTATTCTCAAATGACAAGAATAAGTCAGCTATTTTTCGAGACAAAAATTCCCGTGGGATTTCTCCTTGCTTTAAATAATTAAATATTAAAGGAGTAAGAAAGAAGCAGGCAGATTCTATGATATGGACATGAATCGAATGGGATATTTATTTGCATAGGTACATGGCAAAGAGGGAAGGATCGATCCCAAAGCTGTATGAAATTGCCAGTCACTCCATTACAGTGTTACAAATAGATTATTACCCGTAAGAATGTAACTCTTAATGTCCTAAAAATAATTTAACTCTAGGATTATATTTATTTAATCTGGTAAATGACAAATATATTTTTAATTCCCATAAAGCAGAAATAAAATGTCTCCCAGGAGCTGGAAACTAAACCCAACTGCTCCCCCCTCCCCCCTCCTATTTTTTTATGGACATTTCTTTCCTTTTTTTTTTTTTTTTTTTCTTCTTTTCTTTTTTTCCTCCTGAAGTCTCATCGGCTCTTATGAATTTTGCGATTTATTTCTCCTTCCTTCTCCCTCAAGAAAAACACTTTTCATCAGAAAACATGATACTTTTTTTCTGCCGAGCCTCCCGGCAAATTGCCTCGCTCTCTCCAGACAAGTTTCTAGGATCAACAAGTTAACCTTCAGAAAGATTACAAAGGTACAAGTGGGCTGCTTAAGAGGTGAATCATTAAACATAAGGTGAAGTAGACGACTGCAGAAGGTTTCAATTAAAGTGACAGTTCAGGCAGCCTTCGCCTGCCCGGGAAAGGTACGCTTCTATTGTCAGCGCCACGCTGGGAGCTGCAACCATCCCGGGCAGGGAGGGTTGGTTCCCCCCGGCCGCGTTCTGCATCGCCAGGGCTGCTGCTGCGGTCCTCGCTCCTGCAAACAACTCCACCGGTTGCAGCGTGATAAATTCAACTGTGACAGCATTAAACACGGGAAAGGGGCCAGATCTCCTTTCTGTCCCACCCAGGCTGGAATGAAGGAGCCAGCTTCAGACCTGCCTTCCCGGAGGTTTCACCCAACACTCCTCGTTACCCCAGTCTGAGGGAGAGCAGGATCAGGCCCGCAACCTTCCCCTTACTTTCCCAAATCCTGCTTGCTTCTACTTATTACTATTTTTTAAAGAAGTTTTGTTTTAATATGACAGCATATTTAATAAGCAGCCCTGGGGTGGAGGGAGGAATGCGAGATCCTTGCCGAGTCGTGGAAATCCTGCACGCCTGCTGCCTCATCCCCACATCCCCGCGGCTGCTCGGTGTGGGGCCGGCACACAGGCACCTCTGGCCCCCTTGCCAAATTTCCCGTGGGTGCCCGGAGACTGTCTGCCCCAACATAGAGCCTATATCTACGCACAGAGGGCAACGCACGGACAACCAGTCCACAGGCAGCTGCCGCTGCTCTGCCTGCCCCGCACGGAGGTCCCACATGCTTGGAAGGGGTACGTGCAACCTTGGGCTTGTTTTTCCTGGCTTCGGGGAGTACGGGCAGCACGGTGGTGAAGCAGGAGGTAGAGGAGGGTCAGGTCAGCTTTCCCTCTGGCCTGGGGCAATGTTGTGACATTATCTGGCAATTCTCTGGTTTAAACTTTAAGTACTTCTGGATTTTATATTTCGCTCTGGCATGTTCCTATACGGCAGCCCCGAGCGTGGCTAAGATCCTCTCCACAAGGATGCTCCAGCGACTGGGTTAATTCCCTCCTGCTAATTCCTTACATAATCATGTGGGCTCAGATCCTCAAAAGTATTTGCGTGCCTGCCTCGCTTGGAAATCAGGGAGTTTAATTGTCTGCTAAAATTATTGTGTTTTGTTTTGAAAGCAGAGCAGGAAATAACAAACTTGGGTTTTATGAGATTTGTTTGCCTCTCTGTGGTCAAAGAGCATTTTATATACCTTTGCAAATAAATTCACAGCTAAAATACTGTAGTGCCCAGATTACAGATGGATTTTTAGACTGTGAGCAGTGGGAAAGGGATGCCAGCATAGGTTAGGGGACCTGGGTCTTGGCCTGTTGGTGCTTCTGGTCCCATTTGGTAAAATGCATATAGGACAATGGCACGGTCTTGCAAAGGTGCTGGAGGGAAGAATCCATTAAAGACTGCAAGATGCTGAGATAGGAGGATAATAGAGATCACGTCAGTGAGAGATGCCATCTATTACAGATAGCTATTGCACAGCTGACTGCATCTCCCTCTCTGGAAATGGCTCCTTTCTTAGTTTCATTTTTGGCTACACAACCCAAAAGAATTCTTCTCACTCCTTGGCGTTTGTCCCCTTCAGATATTTCATGCAATACGGAAGAAGGAGGAATCAAAATACCATGACATTGAAGTTTATTGCCTATTCTGCTCACGTCGGTTGAAATCAGTCACTAAAACCTCAGCCTGCAGGACCCCGTGCTCTGTATTTTTCTTGTCTAGGTAATCATGATGGCAGCAGGGGGAGGTAAGTAGAAGGGAAAAGGACTGATTTTATTAGGTGTTAGAAGAGCTTATTAGAAAATAGGGGGGAAAAAGCAATAAAATTATTAAGATGGGAATTAAAACAAGTGATGAAATCCAGTCCCTGCTGACTGCAAGGGGACACTTCTCTCCTCATGCACCCTTTCTCAGTTTGGAAGATGCCCAGGCATTGATAAACATTTTACAAGAGCCCAACTCCACAGCAGCAAGCAGTGGTGAATACCAGTAGAAAAAATACTTGGGGGCCAGGATCAGCCCGGCAGCTTCAGAGGCAGCGTTTAACCTGCTGCCT